TGCTGTCTCTGGCTGGGTGGATAGGGGGAGAGCAGTGGATGTAGTCTACCTTGATTTCAGCAAGGCATTTGATACTGTCCCCCACGACATCCTTATAACAAAGCTGAGGAAGTGTGGGATAGATGAGTGGACAGTGAGGTGGGTGGAGAACTGGCTGACTGGCAGAGCACAGAGGGTCGTTGTTGGCGGTGCAGAGACCGGTTGGAGGCCTGTAACCAGTGGTGTTCCTCAGGGGTCTGTGCTGGGTCTGGTCTTGTTCAACATCTTCATCAGTGACCTTGATGAGGGGATAATGGCCACCCTCGGCAAGTTTGCTGATGATACGAAGTTGGGAGGATTGGCTGACACGCCTGAAGGCTGTGCTGCCATTCAGCGAGACCTGGATAGGCTGGAGAGCTGGGCAGAAAAAAAACCGGATGAGGTTTAACAAAAGCAAGTGTAGAGTCTTGCATCTGGGGAGGAATAATTCCATGCACCAGTACAGGCTGGGGGATGACCTGCTGGAGGGGAGCTCTGCAGAGAGGGACCTGGGTGTCCTGGTGGACGACAGGTTGGCCATGAGCCAGCAGTGTGCCCTTGTGGCCAAGAGGGCCAATGGCATCCTGGGGTGCATTAAAAAGAGCGTGTCCAGCAGGTCGAGGGAGGTGATCCTCCCCCTCTACTCTGCCCTGGTAAGACCTCATCTGGAGTACTGCATCCAGTTCTGGGCTCCCCAGTACAAAAAAGACAAGGATCTCTTGGAAAGAGTCCAGCAGAGGGCCATGAAGATGGTGAAGGGCCTGGAGCATCTCTCCTATGAGGAAAGGCTGAGTGAACTGGGTCTATTCAGCCTTGAGAAAAGAAGACTGAGAGGAGACCTGATCCAGGTCTATAAATATCTAAGGTGTGGGGGGCAGAATGGCGAGGACAGACTCTTTTCAGTGGTGAGTGGATACAGGACAAGGGGAAATGGCTGGAAACTGCAGCATAGGAAGTTCCGCACAAACATGCGCAAGAACTTCTTTACAGTGAGGTGACGGAGCACTGGAACAGGCTGCCCAGGGAGGTGGTGGAGTCTCCTTCTCTGGAGATGTTCAAGACCTGCCTGGATGCCTACCTGTGCGACCTGCTGTAGGGAACCTGCTTTGGCAGGGGGGTTGGACTCAATGATCTCTGGAGGTCCCTTCCAACCCCTACAATTCTGTGATTCTGTGATTCTGTGATACTTGCATGGTACAAAGCATGAGTTTCATTTTAATTTTGTGTGGAAAAATAACACAATTAATGGTTACTGAGCATTTGAATATTAAATGTGAAGTGATCCTTATGAAGGAGAGAGTGTCTAGGGGCCGGCTTGAATATTTCAGCAAAGCAGCCTCAGTAAGGAAAAATAAACAAAGCCTTATTTGTTTATTTTCCTTTTGTTTAAACAGATAAAAACTAAATGTAATATGCTCTACCGTATCTCTTGTGTAATCATTTGTATGACAATAGAAAGATTCATAGTTCCGAATTTTCATATATTTCAATATTTCCGTTACTAAGCATGTTAATAATATTGATGCCAACTCACCAGCATGAATATTCAGCTGACAGATAGCTTGTGAAGAAACTATTGGTGCTGATCATACTTCACAGTAATATTTGATAATACCGTTTTCCAAGAACATTTATGATTTATTAGTTTTTTTTCCTTCCTTCATAATTTTCTAGAGAATTCTTCAGAATTTCACAGGTGGTGTATGGATTGCAAGGAAATGTGTTGGTGAAAATTGGAAGACCTTTCAATTAGACTGGGCCCTTAGGAAAAGGATTGGTAAATTTTTAATAGTCACTTCGCTAATCCTTTCTGAATTAATGAAGTTTCCTTACATGCACAAAAATGCATCCTGTGTTTTGTTGTTACATAAAGCCTACTCCAATTTAAAGGAGGAATTTTTAAATTTAGGCATAATTCAGCATATTTTGAATTTACTTTTAATTCACTACTCTGGACTGCTGAAATAAATACTGAAAGCTAGAAAAGATTGTCTGAAATAATGACAGCATCACCTTAAAAGCATATTATTAAAGCAAACAATACAGCTGACATATCATTCTTTAAATGGTTTAAAATGGTTTTCCACCTTTTTCTATTACCAAAGACTGATAGAGGGTAAAGCCTTACAGCCCAGATCAATAGATAGCAAGGTGTGTGTTTATCAGCTGAAAGCTTACCTGAAGTTTTATGAACCAGTTCTTTGTAAAGCTGATATGCGTGAAGAATAAGACAGAATTGAGGAAAGGATAGCTGTCTAAGGGAACAGTTAGAACTTAATTACTTAATGATTAGTAAATAGGAATTTGAGGGTAGTGTTGTAGGGTCAGAGCAAAAGAGCTATGGCCTGCTTAATAGATGGGAACTGGACACTTCAAGTGCTCAAATGCTTAAAGCTAAAACTTGCCTTATTTGCAGGCTCATACTTTAGAAGTGTCAAAAACATCCAAGTAATCTGGAGACTCAATTTCCTTTTTGAATGAAGGTTCACAGGTAACTTCTGCAAATGGTTCTGGATAGTTCTTCAGAATTTTGCCCTAAGCTTTTTGTTGCATTTTTGGTTATGTCTGTGAAGGGGAAACACACATTAAATGTTTTATAGATACTACTGATGATAATCTCCTGATGACATTTTCATAGCTCTGTTCCGGACATCCTGGAACATGATGTTGACTAAAAGTAAGTTCCAGTATGCTGAGGTCTGTTTATGATTTTATGGTTAAGAAGCATGAATCAGGACTTTTTAGCCTGAAACAGCATCTATTACTTACCCTTTACATGAGCCAGTGGAGTAAACAAATTATTTGTCATCATCCCATGGGGCTAAAATCAGCCCTCAAGACTTGGCACTCATTGGATGTAACCTAGTTACATTATCAGTGAAATAAAGGTTCATAAAAACTGAGCTACGGTAGAACCACATTACTGACAAGAATAAAATAAATAAATATGTACCAGAATAAAGATGTTCTGAATAGTACATACCTGTTGCAGCCTTATACAAATCTAGGTCTGTAAATCCCTGTCCAAAACATATGTTGAGTTTCTACTTGCCCTTCATTCATCTTGTTCTTATTGCCCTTGCTTTTTTAAAGCACTATGTTTTTGAAATGACTGATTCATTGAAGCACAAAAAGCTGATGCAGAGCATATAGTTAAGCAGTGCTGCACCACAGATGCAAATGGGAGGCAGTGTTCACTGTAAAGGAATGGGGAAGGATAAATGTAGCCTGCACTGCTGAAAATTAGAACAGGATTGGATTAATCAGCATAGCGTGTATTAGGAGGAGGCCAGGGCAAGCCCAATTCAATTGAGTTTCAGCATGTCACAGTTCTCCAAGCCAGAGTGTCTGTAATTAAATTCAGAAATCAATGTTAATGCTCATCTGGGTCACAGAGCTCAGATCAGAAGATATTCAGGAAGTGCTGGAAAATTTAAGGTTTAATAGAAATATTCTGCTGGCTGTGGGTCATTTCTTCAGCATTCCTCACTAATACTTTTTCGGAACAAGTACTACACCGTGGGTAAATGCAATTAGGATTGTGATACTCACCAAGAACAGGTATCACTGTTTGTTCAGGAATATAACAATAGCTGAATAAAGTAGGGGGGAAGTAGCTTGCTGCATCATGCGTGGATTGGGAGTTTCCAAGCTAGAATAAGGCAACACATTCACATCTCAACCTCTAGCCACCTCTCAGATCTCTTAGTATTTGAGGCTTCTGGAGTGGCATGAATATACCAGCATTTCTGAAAGCTGTTGAAGTGACAGTATGGTCCTGCTTTACTTGTTATGTGATCTATGTTGTATCTCTAGTGGAAAGTAAGCTGTAATCTCCTTACGTAGGCTGGTCATCTGTGAGGAGGTTTACATGGGAAATTTATGGCACCAGCAGATTATGTTATTGTTAATGCTAGCACTTTTTAGTGATGTTTCTGTAATAATCTTAGTGTAAGTGAGAATATTTGGTCAAGAAATGTTCTTCATGTGGACTACATGCAAGAAAGCCTTGTTTGGTGTGACCTATGAGCTAGAGGAGAGATAATTCCTTCCCAGCTAATGTGGGGATGATTTAGGAATCTGTCCCACTGGTCACAAAGCAGGATGACTCATCTAGGATTTTCTCATTTCAGAATTCATGAAGATGCTGCCCTTGTTCCGTACAGTATATGCACATACTTTCTTTGAACTTGATCAGTTTTTTGCTTGTCAGATGTGGGATTTTCTGGCTCAATTTCTGGATCTACATATGGATTATGATCTGACAAGTTAGGAAGAGAGAGCACAGCTGTGTTTCTGTTTGCTGATTTAAGTCAGCTTAAATAAAGCAGACAAATACCAACCACCAAGATTCTAAATCTGTGTCCCTGCTTTCAGCATGCTTGGCAGTGAGGAGCTGACTTTTGTGCTTCTGTCATGACAAAGGCATTTAGTGGCAGCCCTTGAGGAACCATCAGGTTTAGTATTGACATTGACTGTTTTTAGGTGTATGGGAGGCACTTCTGTGTGTCACTGTCACACTGTCACTATGGAGTAATAGAGATCTGCTATACAAACATCTTTCCATGGCTTGGAAAATGAGACTTGGAACTGGATGAAGCGGGACTGTCCAAGTGAAAAATCTAAACACAGCTTTCAGCCAATCTGCAATGCTAGGGATATTCATGCTTGCAGTTTGCAACTGACAAGAAGTCCTTCTAATGTCCTCAGTAAAACACTGTAACTAATGGAAATTTGCCAATAAGAACACCAACAAAAATGCCTGCATGATTTAGCCTATTTCCTGATAGTACAGAAGAATAAACTTTCTGATTATCTTGTTAAGTATCTTATCTTTGGATCTTTCTCCTCCAAATTTAGCTTTTCAGGGCAACAGGATAGACATTCTGAGTGTCCTCTCTTCTGACCCCTTATTTCACCCACTCAACAACTCAACTGTGAAAAATTGTTTAACTGTGTTAAACATTTTCTCAAATTCACAGCTATTTCAAAGGCAGAAGCATCAGTGTTGGCTGGAATTTGGAACTACTTGATTTGGATGTGCCTCGATTATAACCACACCCTGGGATGTCAAGACAGTGTGAGAATCCACATACGTGTACCAGGGTGATGCAAGCACATTCCCGAGAATCCCAGCTTACATAACTGGTAAATGCTTATGAACTGTTCATAAGACTTCTCACCAATGCAGGCTATACTGGTTGGCTGTGTTGGATCAGCACAGAGCAGTCCATGACTTCTCTGAGGACTGTATTTTTTGTTTTTACTTGTTGGTATCTTTGGTGTGCACTAGGGTAACAAAAACTGCAGAATAAACGAAAAGCCTGAAATAAGTGTCTGTGAAGTGCTTTTTCAGCTTCTGGGTGAGATCCTTTTAGTAGGGGAATAAACAACAGTATGATGTGAAGGGAAAAGAAGTTTCTTGCTCTACAAAATCTTATCCTCAAGCTGAACTAGGAGGATGTGATCAACTTCCAAATATGCCAACAGCTGCATCTGACTAGTTAACTCCCACATACCTTGCACATTTCCTACAAATCAAATCAAACTCATGACCAGATGCTTCTCCTACTCTCCTTTTTTGTTTCAGTCTCATATGTTGTGTGCTTTCATCATTTATGTAGGTCATTTTGTTTGCTTTCTCCTTGCCTCCTATCGTGTTCTCGTTTGTTATCTTCATCTTTGTTCATTTGTGTTGGTTAAATTACATTCTATCTCTGACATCTCAGGCTGTTTTCACATAGTTGCATGATCTGGTTCATCTCTCTGCAGGCTCGTCTGCCTTTTTATTCACTCTGGGTGGTCCTTACTGTTTGCAGCTCTATTAACCACTGTTTCAAATATCAAGCTCAGTTCAAGTTGTACAGAAATTTTTCCCTCTAATATTTGCTCTGCAAATTCTTAGTGACATTTTTAGAAAAAAACTAATATTTGTACTTTGGTCTTCTCATGTATCTGACTTATTGTGGCATTGCTGATTGGTTTTGCTGCAGTACTTTCTTTGCCTTAACCAAGCAGTGATTACTTTCTTCACATTTTAGTCCCATAATGAACTTAAACTCATGTATTCGTGTATTAATCCAGCTGCTTAAACCATTTACTTTACCCAGGGTTTTCTACACTGAATATCTTTTCTGCAGAATCAAAACTTGTAAGGTTTATGCAAGGAAAGGGAAGAGAATACTTAGCATATGTCTTCAGAATTGACCTTTTTTAGGGCAGTAACTTATGAAACCAGCCAGCTGTTATAGCATGCTCTGCTTGTTGTTAACTGCACTAATATTGATAGTCTTAACTGTTCTGTAATGTCTGCTGTATTTATCTGTTGCCTTTTACTCTATCATTACACTGGTGTTGGTGATGTGTTTCTGCTGAGTAGGACAAGCATTGAATGGTGACCTTTAAAATCCGTTGTGAGACAAGTGGAATCATGAATGAATATTTCTTACAAGATATTCTGTGTAATTTTTCTAAATTTTAGTGGATACCCTCAGTTATGCCTGGATAATAATAACTGGTGATGCTGTTTTTCACCCTTTCCCCTATACTCTGGACAGCAAACCTTATGGTAGACTACTGGCAGCTTCCTGCTGCTTAACCTGTAATTGCATTTTCAGTTTCTCTCTCTCTCTCTACTTCTTCATTGTGCTTTTCTTATACATAGCTGATAATTTTGCAGTAGTTTCTTAAAAGAAAAAAAATAACCCACACTATATGTGTTGATACTTAATAATCTGCTAAGAGAGTTTTACTGACCTTTACCTTCTCCTCATAAATGCGTCCAGAAACTGGGCTAAAGCTTTAGATGTACCAGACTGACTGATAGCTACAAATGCTCTGTGATGGACTGAGAAGACCCTAAAGCAATAAGACACAAATATAAATTTTACAGTAACTGGTAAAAAAATGGCTCTTTATTTTCTCTCTCCTTGACTCTTAAACTCCTTATTGAAATTATTTTTCAGTCATTTGTGCTATCTATGTTTGCTTCGCAAATCAACCAATGGTTTTTAACAAGGTGCTTCAATTAACTTAAGTCAAGCATTCAGTTGAGTTTAAATATGCCTTACTTATATTTCAAGTGCCTTATTGTAAGTGTTATTCTGGCTTTGTGTAACTCTGGATGATTTCCATTAAAAGAAACTGACACTATCTTTGTAATTAACTGTGACCAGACACAGGCTGAGGGAAAGCATGCAAAATATTAATAGCATTCAGATGATGTAAAAATAGCAATGCAAGTGAGGCCTCAAGAAGCTAAAAAACATAATTTTGCAAGTCATTTGTGAATAAATTGCAGTCTGTAATACATACATAATGTAAACATTATATATTATATACATATATATGTACATATGTATTATACATTATGTATAATAGTTGACTATCTACTCCTAAAATTAAGATGTTACCTAGCATTGGTCATCGTTGACATCTAACCTGATCGTATGGGTCAACTGAGATTTTGTTTTAAATTATGCAGGATAGCTCAAATGTGTTAAAACAGACCTCATAAATGGAGTGCATTGAAGCTGAGCTATCCATGCAACATATCCATTAACAGGGTCATTAATAGGGTGCCATATTTTAGCAAGTGGTACCATTTAATAATTCCTCATGTATTAGGAATATTCTCATTTTTCTCAGGCCAGATGGCCTACTTCTTCACAAACTCTCTGTTATGGGCTCAATCTGTAAAGGGCATAACTGGAACAAATGGATGGAGCTAAACAGCAGGATAGACATATGCTGATTCATAGATGCAAAATGAAGTCATTGAAACTATTTTAGTGGTTTTGGTGCCATAGAAAAGCTGTGGCCAACAGGATGGAGTGGATACAGACCATTTAAGGGTCACAAAAGGAAGTTTTGTGTTATCTATGAAGTCTACTGTGTGAACACATGGGCATTCTGGGAGCAAGCAAACGTGAGGAGACAGGACAGCAAGCCATTCTTATGCTCTTTTAGCTGTCTTTACTGTATGCACTGCCCAATAATAACTGGTGACACTGTTTTTCACCCTTTCCCCTATATTCTGAACTGCAAACTCACTGGCAGACTACTAACAGCTGCCTGCTGCTTAACCTGTAATTGCATTTTCAGTTTATCTCTCTCTCTACTTTTTCATCATGCTTTTCTTATACATAGCTGATAATTTTGCAGTAGTTTCTTAAAAGAAAAAAGTAACCCACACTATGTATGTTGATAAATCACTCTTTTCTTAACAGGAAAGGAAACTGAACAAAAGCACAGGATGCCTAGCAGATCTCCTTTGCTTTCGGAGGTTCCAAGTTATGAATTTCTGTTGCTGCTAATACTTAATAAATCAAGCAGAAAGGTGATCAGTGTTAAGGGATAGACTTTACTGCCCTATAAACCATTTAAGACAAAACATTTTTCCCACTCCTCCTCCTCCACAATGATAGAACATCAGTAGGGTTGTTCAGAGTCAAGTAAAAAAAGAGATTTGCTAAGCGCTTCACGTACCTATACTTAGATATGTATTTGTCTGTCAAAGATAAATGTACAATTCCATAAATATGACCTGCACTATTGCAGCATGTCTTTCAGCACCTGATTATTGATAAATCACTTGGCTCTCTGTGGATTCTTGCTGTTTACAGTATTATTAGTTTTGGATGTTAGAGCACAAGAAGTGGTTATTATAATGCCAATGGTAATGAGGGTGATTAAAAGTAAAGAAGAAATTGTGAGGGATAACTTTCATTCTGGGAATTAATTTGACCCTGATATTGACATTTCTATAGTTTTATATATATGAAAGATTAATTTGCTAGTCTTTGTATCTTGGAACTGCTGCGTTTTTTTATATGTACTTTCTACTTTGCAGTTATGGGTCATCAAACTGAGGAGTGGTAGAAATACTTGCAGGTTCTAATGATGCACCCATATGGAAGTCTGGCTATGGCTATAGCCACTATGAAGTCCAGTGTTCAGTTGAAGACCTGGTGGAGTCTTCCTGTAATTTAATAGTGATTTATTTCTGAGACATACATTAATGGGCAAATTTTGCCCAAAGTATTTTTGAACCATGCTTTCCTTTCTGTGTGAAATATTGCTTTATTTTTAAAACTAGCATTTGAAATTATTATTGCTAATCTGTCTTCTTGGCAGGGTAGGTTGACTTGCACAAAGGTCTTCAGTAAAAAAAAATATTCAAACACTGATCCATTCTTCTTCTCAGTGTTCCTTGGAATATAGTTGTCAAAGGAGATTTCCAAGGGTACTGACAGACCAGGGGAGTATAGCTGTAGCAAAGGGCCACAGCTGTGCTGAAGCAGCTGTTCCTGCTGGACAAACAAACACTCATCATGTGGCTGGGGCACTCAAGGATCCCAGATTCGAATTCTTGTTCCAAAGAGACCCATGTGTATACTTTTCTACTGACATGGACTGAAATGACATGATGCAACTAAAAAGTATCCTATTGGTGGAGGGGCCAGGAACCCAGACAGTCCCACTTCACAGTCTGATGTTTTGGTCATTACTTTCAAATTATTCTGCCAGCGCAAATTGACAAGTAGCAGGGTTACATTTAGATACCTGTAGATACCTAAGAACTTTTCAGTTACTTTCTGGCATTATTTGAATATCTTTGAAAAACTGGTCCTATGTCTCTAAGGATAAACAGAGAATGATTATTCCTGCAGTTTTCAGGCTGTATGGTTTACATAATGTGATGTGTTTTCTAGGTCAGGGGTAAGGCTCTGCTGAAACACCTCAGTTACAGAACAAATAGATTTGAACTCATATCTAATACAAATACTATTTAAACCTTGTTTTAAATGACTACTTCAGTTTGTTCCTGCTATTATTTGATCTTACAGTCATTGGATTTGTATACACAGTGAGAAATTACAGTTGTTAGAACATGCTAATTAACATGATTAAGTGAGCATGTAGAGCATAAGGACATTTGTTTGGTCTCCTGACAGCTGGTCGCTGCCCACATTAAGTGTGTGTCTCGCCTCAAGATTTCACTCTGACTAAATCAAGTAACAGATTGGTGGTTAAGCTAGATGATGCGTCACCAAAGGACTACAACATTTTTTGCTCTTATATGCCTTCACAGCAAGTGCCTGCCACTGGCTTATTTATTGGCTATTTGAAATTTTGTGTGCAAGAAC